GCAAATAAACAAATGATAAACGCTCAGAATTAAAATTGCTCAGTTACAAACCAGCAAACTGTTTCTGTTAATTAAATGCAAATAGATGAGTAGGTGCAGATAAGTTACAGTGTAATAAAATCTGGAATTTTAATAGAAATATAAGTAAATACACGTGCTTTACAAGATAATTGTACAAAACATCATAAATATAGCCATAGCTTATTTAATTCAAATAAATTTTAATCAAATAAAATTTGAACAGAACAACAAGAAACGAGTCGAGTGACATTTGTAATATTCAACGATTGATATTGGTTCATATTAAAGGAGAATGCTGAAATAATGCCTTGCATTAGTAAAACAACTACACAATCGGCACCACTTGTTAACACCATCAATAAATCAAGGTTTTTATAATTAAACGGAAAAAACCATTTTCCCGTGTTAATTTTGTTTTGGTACAAAGTTAAAAAAGGACGGTTGAATTAGGAATTATATCTTAAACAAACATATTGGTTCTGCAAAATTTCAATGCTTTAAAGAACACCTAAAAGAGGCTATGGAAATATTTAGGGTAATGAGAGCAGAATGCTTAAAATACGTACATCTGTTGGAGTTGAATATGTTAAAGTAAGCTTCATATTTTATTGGATTATGTCAAGGATACATTAATATCTGCTTACAAGATGTATTCAGAATTCTATATTTTTAATGTTATTACCAGTATTTATTAGTATATTTGTAAAGTCGCCACATGTTTTTCATTGATGTTTTAACTTAAAAACAATACTGAACAAACAAAAATTAAACGAATGAATAAACGAATAAACACCAACATGTGGTAAGACTAAAGGAACAAACGACCAAATAAAGCACAAGTAAATGTTCATTTATATGTCCAAAACACTTCGTCACCTTAGTTCAGTAGCGGGTTAACTTCTTTTAAATCTCACAGGAATAAACCCGTTACTGAACTAAGGTGATTACTTTTCATTTTTCCAAGCTGTAACTGTTTCCGTGTTATGACATTGGACTGGAAACGGAAGACTTAATTATAATAATAGAGCATCTTAAATGTAACTAAGTATCATGTGGCTTGATGGGTGTGACTTCGACAAGAGCATGCACGCAATAAGACATGAGATATATGTCAATCATATGCCGCACCCTAATTTTGCTCAGGTAAACATTAAAGGAAATGACTGTTTCATAGTAGAAATAGAACGGATAAAATTCAAAACTTCCCTCATTAGTGTTTGTGAGGTGCTTTACATGTATTAACAAAATCTAAATTGAAAACATAACAAAAAAAGAAGGTATCGGTAGAAAACTAATGTTGCATTTGTTTGTTCATTCTAGCGGAGATGGAAACATTAAAAACTTTACCCTGAATCATTTACTTTGTTTGAAAAGGATATGATGGTTTCTTTATCATTACACACTAAAATTGATAGGCACTACACATAAATCTGTTTAAGAGTAGTTGTATATTCAACATAAAAAACAAACATGTTACACAAAGTTAAATGTGCAGCATGATTGCCATGATGCCTTAATGAATTGCATTTACACCATGTTAATAAAAAAACAACAACATAAATTTATGTGAAGGTTCACAAAGAGATCTCTCTATTTATATTTAATTGATAAATAGTTTTTTAGGCTCTTCTTTGTGTCCTGTCCTGTTTTGTTTGGGGTCCTCATGGGCTCCTTGCCACTGGCTCTTGTTGCTGGATCGTGTGGGGGCTGCGTTCATTGAACGCCGCCTTTCCTTGTAGATCTTGTTTATCATAATTATTATATTATATTGTAGTAGATGATGCATGGGTTCGATGAATTTGAAGTGTATGGTTGATTTAGGAGAACAAGTGTCTGGCTCCATGTAAACTGCTTCATATGAACCTCCTTGTACAGGTGGATTTCCATAACACAAACTGTACATTTATCTTTTTCATTATAAGACGTAACGGATTCAAATAACAATAAAATATCATTTTCGTTGTACGACTGCTATTCTGAAAATTAAGTGTTAAGTGTTTTAGTTAATTTTAACACAGGACTTTTTCCACATAATTGGAACACAAAGTGATTGGATGTGACGTGTAAAAACATGAAAATTTAATACCGATTCAGTAGCTTTGTACTATTACACAGACCCGCTTACCTTTTGATTAGTAAGAAGCGGTAAGTGGCTTCTTAGACATTGCCAAATACATGACAGAACACAAAATAAAAACAAATAGTTAAAGGTAAAGGATATAAGTTAAGAGTACGTAAAATGCTTATCTGCTTATCTTCACATGAATGACTAGCTTGTTTAATTGTCATTGATAACAATTATGATGACAATATATTGGCAAATCTTTTCATTGGCAAACATTGTAGCCAATTAAGTTGTTTTCACGTTCAGTTCTATTCATGCACGCTTCTGATCTTTGTTTCGTTTGATAAGTACTGCATTTATCAAAAATGTTTAACTCCAAGCACGCTAACTTATGATCATAGAATTATGTACTAAATAAAAGAATTATTTATTTAATTTATCATAAATATCTGAAAGTTTCAAAACTTTCAAAATAAAGGGATATATAAGGATGTTTTATATTTCATGGCACCGAATATTTGTCAATATTAGACACTAGGTTTTTTTTAGAATGGTCAATAAAAATATTTATCAATTAAATCAAACTGATTGTATTTTCTATGAAATACAAATTATGCCTATTTAGAAGTAATACAAATTATGCTTATTTAGAAGTAATACAAATTATGCTTATTTGGGGCACATGGACATTAATATAATTACTGAATTTTTAAACAATTGTACTCACAAGCCAGACACTTAATAAAGTTCATTTGCTGATTTTTTTATCATTTCTGATTTCTTGTTAAAATATAGATTACTATTATGTGTAACGGCGTGTGCACAATAAGTTGAATTATTCTTGAAAAAAGGCACAATCCTAATGAGAGGTTTATCATTTCAAAGATTGTTGACACGAAAATAGATTATAATTATGTTGTAAAGATTATCTTATCTGTATATGTCCAGATTATCCTATGGCCTCACGTTTAAAATGATCGATAAATTGAAATGGTAGCACTTCAATTTGTTCAGCACGGGCAACATGAAACAAACGAATTGTCGATTGCGTGTTGCACTATTGTTTGGTAACAGTTTCATCAATAGTTTATCTATCAACGTCTCAACAATTTCAACATGTGAACAAATTGTAATGGAACAATAGATATTAATAAGAGTGTTAATTATCTACGATATATTATGTCAATTATTGTTATATAAAATACATTTTGTTGTTGCAACACATTTATTTCATTCAGAAGAAGGTAAACGGTAGCAATAATGAATTTATATAAACATCACCAATATGTAATCAATATCATATACATGTAGCACTCAATGTCTGTTAGTTATAACATCATAATGACACATTATTTTACTGTTGATGCTAGTAAAATCACTTAAATTAAGTGGTACTCTTATTTTTCACTTCAGTCTATGTTTGATTGATAGAAATGTAGCATGCAGAATCAGTTATACATAGAGAAAGAGATATGTTAGATATATCCTCTGATCAAAGCATTTAGTATGCTATTGTTATCCGGAAATAAAGCTGTATTCCACATAAAACAGAAGTATATAGGATACCGGTATTGCTTTCTAATTACCAAAATATCAGACATATTATAATGGATTTATGTGAAACAAACATATGCAAAGGGATTGCTTAGCATATAAATTGGTTAGTAGCTTTTATATGTAATGAATTGTATGGTGCTATCAAGACTTTTAGCTATTTATCTATTTTATTGTATGTCGAACTGTTTAAAACGTTCTTATTGTAGTAAGTAGTATTCAATATACATTTATATATAATTGTTCATATTCATTTATGTTTATTGAGCAAGAATTAGTGAAGGTTTCTGAAGTTGTTAAAAGAATTCTGGTCAACGGGTTGTGAATATCCAAATAGGTTTCTCACGTAATTTGTTGTTAACTTTCAAAGATGGGTCAAATTAAATCAACTTCTATTGTTTACAAAGAATACATAACGGTATAGTATCATGTCTATAAACTTGAATCTAAATCGTTCAAAATAGCTTCTTAAATCCAATTTAAAATGTCGTTTGCCTTTTAGCAATTTCAAAAGAAGAATGACCGAGTTCATAATTAATAAGAGTTGTTTATTATAATTATGATGCCGTTATTGATTTCATTAAAAGAGTTTCTTTTTAGAATTTAAAAAATTATCATTTGACCTGGATTTTTATCAATTTAAACAACGTGTTCCATTTTACACTGACAAGTTAAAGATCTTGGAAAAAAAGGAAAGTCAGCATTCACGTGTCAATTCTAATTACGATTGTCAACAAAATGACACCGAATGCTTACAAAAAGTATTTTTTACTGTACAAAATGAGTATTTGACAACATATACTTTAGAATAGTTTATCATAATACTGCTCGTCACATTTTTCAAAGAGTGAAATGCTTAAAATGTAAAACAAAATAATTGATACAAAAATGTTTTCAACTAGTCCTAGAAAAACGTATTAATAAATTATTGTGAAATGTTCAAAGCAAAAAGGTAACACATTTACATTTTTTATATGTGTCACGTAAATTGCAAAGTTCACTCTACAGCAAAGCAAAGAAAATACCTAAGAATATGACGAGTTGTTCATAACACATATCAGGGTAATCAAATGTGACACAGGAAAGGTGTTAGCTATGCTAAAGTTAATTGAGAGGAGGAAGAAGTTATGTACATGTGTAAAGGGGAGAGAGAGACAACACAGCACTATACAGTCCTATTTAACTACAAAATGTATGTCTGGAAACGATTGTGATCAATGAATGTGAAAGTTAATTACTTATTCTACTAATTGAAAAGTAATTTCACTTCACGTAGTGGGTCACTTTTCAAAAATGATATTGCTTAAATCGTTCAATAATTTAATTGTCGGTTTGATGCTATTGGTTTATAAATATTAACCTTATACAGTAGGGTGAACGTGTCAGTTTACACGCAAAACGCACGTTACACGCTATACGAACGCACGATACACGCTATACGAACGCACGTTATACGCACGCAAAACGAAACGAAATACGCAGACGCACGCAAAACGATATACGCTAAACGAAATACGCTAAACGATATACGCACGCTAAAACGCACGCAAAATGAAAACGTTTCTAAACCTTTATTAAAATATCGTAATCATTTTAAGTTTTTAACAACTTTAGCTACATGTAGATCGTTTAGTGATAAATTTTGATTATCATATATATGGTAGCTAGAAATGTATTTTAAACGAGTTTATGTAAGAACTGAAATGCACTCAACCTAGCACCGAAATTAATTTTTGTCACAGCCTCAACAAATGATTTTTAGAAATATTTATAAGCTATCATGCGCTAATATCGAAAGTAAAATAGTTAGGGTAACGTGTTCCTTTTTATGCGCAATCGGATAAAGAACTATCCCTTGCGTTCACTACGTAATCTCTACGTAATAGTCCAACATGGCCGACATTGAAAATGCATTGCAATGTTTCATAAATATACAGTGCTAACAATTAAATTCAGATGGATTTAAGAGGCAAATCTATATATTAAGTGAGGCTGCATCATAAACAATCGAACTATATAATCTTGAGTGTGAAATAAAGGAATTAACTATTTTGACAGAAGTCACGAAAACAGATTAAAAACACAGGATTCTACCACGGATAACATTAAGGGAAATGGATAACATTAAAGGAAAAGCTTCCAGAATCAAGAATGATTAAATTGCTGGCACAATACGTAGATTTAAGTTGATGTCCTGTATGTTTCATTGGGACACCGCAATATTTACTGTGTTGTCGCCAGTAAAAGCTTCTCAAAACGAAAGTGAAAGTAGAAATAAACAATACTGAAATCCAGTGAAATCACTAAAAAAGGTAACATTTCTAGGGCATTACAATATATGAGTATATAATATGAAATTAGGCAAAGCCTATGAACGGGGAAGTCGTTAAAAAAATCCTTTCATTCTTTCCGTTTTAAAGGTGTCATTCGATATTACATACACCGCTTCCGTTTTCACTCGGAACACTCGACGATTATTACTAATCCGAAAAGTTGAGATTTGTTCCGTTATCGGAATACTATTATCATTGACATACATTGTAAATGGTGGCGCCCGACTAGAACTGACACTGAAAATTTCATTGATAGGTATAGAATTCTATATATTTTTTAATTGTTTTTTATTTGATTTTCTTTTAAATATTCACGTGTAGTCTATAGCCGGGCAAGCCAAAGCCCGGACCTGCAGCTTCGCGGGCCCGGTCTTTGACTTCCCCGTATAAATATTAAGAACGCAATTTTATTTTAGGTCTGAAACTGTAATCGAGAGGAAAAAAATGAGGAAAATAAGGAAACTGGTTGTGTCATCATCATCATGTTAAGTTATTGGATTTACAAAGACAGCACAACAGAAAATATTTTTCATATCACTTAAAATTGAAATTTATTGACATGCGCTTAATATGTATTAATATGCTTTATCACACACCGGTGCCGATTTTGCCACTCAGTAATAAGGTATTGCACATCCGTGCATATAATTTGAAGTGACGTCATTAGCGTTATACAAACATTGTGTAAAGACGCGCTAAATGTTAGCGTTATACTATAGGCGCGTAAATGAAAAACTACTCTTATTTCTCTTTTAACGGTCTTTATTTTGTGTATGTGATACAGTAGGGTGAATGTTCCAGTTTACACGCAAAACGCACGTTCCGGAAAAAATGCACGCACGTTACATGCTAAACAAACGCACGTTACACGCACGCTTTATGAAACGAAATACGCAGACGCACGCAAAATGAAATACGCTAAACGATATACGCACGCTAATACGCACGCAAAATAGAAAACGTTTCTAAACGTTAATAAAATATCCTTATCATATAAATTTTTAACAACTTTAGCTAGATCGTTTAGTGATTTGATTAAATGATAGCTAGCCATTCATGTATTTTAAACAGGTTTATGTTAACTAACTTATCTTATGTCCCAGGTTAGAGCTGTAATGATATCAATCCGCGAATGCACTCAACCTGGCACAATATTATATTTTGTCGGGCAGCCGAAACAAATGATTATTGCAATTATAAGCCATCAAGCACTAATACATGCATTAAAAATGATTTAACAGGGTCGTCTTTATGCACATTTCTGAAAAAATACTTTGCTTTATACCAGGAATCTCTTAGATAGATAATAATTACTTCGACACCTCTTCTGGCGTAAACAAAATAAAACGAATGGTAGTAACTTTAGCAAATCAGCGATCAAATTATCAAATCATTTACATACAGGCGAACGAAATTAATACATGACCTTTTTAAATAAAGGAAAACATACATTGCAGACCGGCAGCCCAACATTTTTTCCAGACAAGGGCTAAATCTATATGTTTCAGGACTTTACACCTCCTGGACGTTTCGGCCCTGAAAGTTTCAACCTCAATTTTTAACCACCTTTTTTTCAATTTGATAAATATATATAATAAATACCATGCATTATGGGTTATAATATATTCTAACATGACCCGCATTTACCCTATTGAACATAGAAGAACAGAAAGTGTGTGTTATTATGCAACAGATGCACAGTTTGACATTCTTTATTTAGACATGTGACGTAATCATTATACACGTGACGTAACCACTAAAATCTGACGCGCTGAAAATAAGTACGGAAACAAATCAGGCGCAAATTTGCTTAACTATCAAGTACGGCAACATTTATTTGTTGATGTCGTGTTAGAATCGAAATAATATATCCAAATCAGTGATTTTATCGCTTGATAACATCACTATTTGTCGTTCGAATGTGCATCATTATATCACTCGGGCTACACCCTCGTGATATAATTCCTCGCATCCGAACTCCAAACAGTGATGTTATTGAGCGATAAAATCACTGTTTGGGATATATTATTTCTTAAATATATATAATATAAAACATCCTTGCAAACATGATTGATATAAAAAAGCTTTTCGGTGATATAACATATTATGAAATTTCCCTGGGAAAATAAATATTAATTTGATTTTTTATATGAGTTCTGAAAAAATTATCAGCTGTAAAACTACATGCATATATTTATTCTTTTTTTTTTCAAAAAATTAAATTCCATAAAAAGATATTGATAAAATATGTTTTAATATAACAGATAAGAACGATTATAGAAGTGTGAAAAGCCTAATGAAATTTTACTGAATTAAAGTATATAATTAAGAATAAACTTCTATTTTGGGCCCGAAACTGTAAGCGAGAAAAAAATGAGGAAAATGGAGAAACTTGTCAACCTCATGCACCGCGATCCATAAGTGCCAGGAGGGGAGGAGTGTTGGACTCCAATAATTTGTGAATCATGTGTAAACTGTAAAGTATATGGATTTACCAAAAGAGCAGCGCATCAGAAAATATGTTTCATAGTATTGAAATTGAAATTTATTGACATTTTATGCACTATATGTTATAATATGCTATATTATTATTAAGGAACATTAAATGCCTAATACCTTCCTTTTTTGTTACTGTCACAAGTTAAAAAAGAAAGGTGCTGCTTCACCAGGACTTTAACCCGGGACCCTTGGAATACCGTTCCGCCACTCAACCGACTGAACTATATTGTATTAGGCTGCTTACGCATCATCTCCCTATATAGTGAACAGTTCGGAACCATTACATATTCCCCTGCTTTATTGAAATTCGTCCTTGAATGGGTACAGTGAACAATGTGAAATAGGACTTTGAGTTTTATACCATCCATCACAATCCCCTTTGGAATAGGTGATGGTATGAAACTTCAAGGCCAATTTCACATTGTTTTATTACTAACTGTTGGAAGTCAAATGTCAAAGGGTGAGAAAAATATGCAGCCTGACTGGGACTTGAGCCAGGGACCCCTTGAATACAGTGTCGAAGCTGACTACCGGCTAAGCTATCAGTCTGCTTGCACATCTTCTCCCCTCAATAGTGAACAGTTCTGAGCTGTAAAAATGAAAAAATCAGTTTTACAGTATCTTTTTTGTGATTCCATATACCATGCAAGTAATGGTCCCCTGACGGGGAAGGGAACACTTCCTTACTGATAGTGGATCTGAACCCCTCTGTCTGCATTATAGGACATTTGCCATACCTTTTTTTATTTTTCAATGAAATTTGGTGGACTTTTTTCCATATCAATCAAACAGATGTAATTGTTACTCAATATTATAGTAATATGTTGCCTTACTAACTTGGTTTCATTTCCTAAGAGGTTATTATAAGGTAAAATTACCCCCATTTTCTAAAGATGTAATGTATTTGCTTGAACAAATAGGCATCATAGAAAATTTACCCTATCTTTCTTCATTGTCAATATAATTCAATGGGGTTTTCTTATTTTAGTCAATTAGATGTAGTAGTTACTTGATAGTATAACATTATTTGGCTTTACTTACTTTGTTTCAGTGACCAGAAGGTTATAACTTGGTAAACTTACCCAAATTTTCAATGATTTAGTGTGGTAAAGTTATTAATAAGGCATTATAGAAAATTAGCCATTATTTAATAATTTTCAATGAAATTTGTTGGGATTTTCTTATATAAGTCAATTTGATGTAGGTATAACTTAATATAATAATACTATGTTGCTTATATAACTTGATTCATTTACCATGAGGTTATAATCAGGTAATATTACTCCCATTTTTAATGAATTAGTGTGTATTAGCTTGTATAGTTATACATCATAGGAAATAAGCCATAATTTTTTGAATATTCAATGTAATTTATTGAGATATTCTTATTTTAATCAATTAGATATGCTTGTTAATTAATATAATAGATTTATGTTGCACTTATAATTCTGTTTCATTTCCTAGGCTGTTATAATAAGGTAAAAATCCCCATTTTGTAGTGAATTGGTGTTCTATCTTAAGACAGTAAGGTATCTTAGGAAATTTGCAATAACTCTTATATTTTGTAATGAAATTTGGTGGGACTTCCTTACTTTAGTCAATTAGATACGTTTGTTAATTAATATGATAGATTAATGTTCCTCTTATAGCTTTGTTTAATTTCCAAGGCTCTTATAATTAGATAAAATTTTCATATTTTGTAGTGATTTAGTGCATTATCTTGGACATTTAGGCATCTTAGGAGATTTGCCATAATTCTCATATTTTGTAATGAAATTTGTTAGGACTACCTTATTTTAGTCAATTAGATATGTTTGTTAATTAATATAATAGATTTATGTTATATAAAAAAAATTCTGTATCATTTCCTAAGAGGTTAAGTTTAAGGTAAAATTACCCGGTGTATCATCATTTTATGTGGCACTGCTTTCTTTAATAGTTGGGGTCCACATAGAATTTACTATAACATTTATATTTTTCATGGACAATTATTGAAATCTTCTTGTTTAAGTCATCTTATTAAAGCTTTTAATTAATAAATGAACTGACCTACCTATGAAGCATAAAATTGATATTGTAGGAAAATTAAAATTACAAATCAATTGAAATTGTACAGGTCCCAAAAGATATATTAGTATGCAAAATGGGTTTTTGTAAATTTATATAAATACATAGGTGATATTTAAGTATATTATAGTTAGAATTTTATCAGTTATGAGGTTTATAACTTACTTGAGGGAAGTTAAACAAGTGACTTGGGACTACAGCATACCTATCTAAAAATCTTCAAAGAATTATATGGTTATATATGGAAAGGTTATATACTTTTAAGTTAGCAAAGGGCGACACAGGCTCATCTCGGGTATCTCAAAGGGGTATTATGTTAAGTAATGATTACGGATTGATAAACCGTAAAAGTGATTTTAGATAATATACAGGAAAAAAATCAAGAAAGCTATATATGTTTATTAAAGTGGGTTATATTATGGACCTCATATAAGATTAAGATATATTTGAGCCGCGTCACGATAAAACCAACATAATGGGTTTGCGACCAGCATGGATCCAGACCAGCCTGCGCATCTGTTCGCTATCAGTGTTATACGGTTTGTAAGTGAACAGTAAAAGCCCAGGCCACATACAAAAATAGTAGTCTATGACTTGATTATGAGCTGTCAGATAGGGGAATTTTGTAAAGGGTGGCTTAGCCTGTCTGTTGTGATTACATGTCTAAAATGTACAACATGGTATATATTAGCCACCATAGAATTTTTTATCTAGAAAAAAATCTAGCTATTTTTATTTGTACAAAAATATAGAAATAGTACAATGTACAATGTATAATTATTAAAATGTTCACTATACATGTACAAATAATGAAACTATTAACAAATGTCGGTACAGCTGCGGTACGGTATTTAGAGGGTCACGGGTTCGAGTCCATGTCAGGTCACCCTGTGACTGACATACATTTGTATAGCCCAGCTAGAAATTAATTCACAATGCTAAGTAACCCTGGGAAATTCGAAGAAATATTTGCATACACAGTAGGTTTATAACTATTCAGTATTTAAACAAGTAAAACGTGTAAGCGGCCGAATAGCTCAGAGGAACTCAAGAGCCGCGGAATCGTATTCCGAGTGTCAGGGGTTCGAGTCCCTGCCAGGCTGTTACATATCAATATAAATCTGTCAAGAAAAATAGGAAGGAACTGTCTAAAATTATCACCCTAAATAGTATTCGGATAGAATTAAATTAAATTAAAAATTAAATTCGGACAGTCTTTGATGAAAAGTCAGAAGATGAACTTGTAAAGGGGGTGGGGTGCTAGTCTGATTACCATCATTTGATGTCTGACGAACTTCATATCTAATATATATTGGTACGCATATAAGCACCTGTTTGCTGAATTGAATATCAAAAATGTTGCAATTAATTAGTAATTATATCTTATGCGTATGTAAAATAGGATTAAAACTAATTAATCTTCGGCGTAAAGCATGTAGAAATCTGACCAGTATTCACCGCGAGGTCACAAACTTTAAAACTTTAATGTAAATATCACAATAATACTTCTTTATATAATATTTCTATTCTTTGACAGGGACACAGAACATCTCTTACATGTTTAAGAAACAAGAAATTTACATAATATATCTAAGATATTCTTTTACTTCTCAATAGTAAGTTAACAGACGCAAAACGCTTAGACGAACGCAGACGCACGCTAAACGTTTCTGGGAATAAGAAACGCACGCTTTCAGACGCACGATAAACGAAAAACGATACACGGAAAACGATAAACGTTAAACGCTTGTAAACGATGCACGCTTGAGAAAGCGTTTCAGCAAACGCACGTTGCACGCTATACGCACGCACGTTACACGAAAAACGGACGCACGAAAAACGCTATTTTTGACAACCGAAACGTTCACCCTACTGTAATTTTACTTTTCCAGGAAGGTTTTTTCAATAATTTCCTGCTTCAGTAGAATTCTAGAAAAAAATTACTTTGTTCAAATTAATAAACTTTCTAAAGCTTGTGCAGAAACCCTACTTTTAAATTCATAGTAGTAATTTTCCACTAGACAGTATTTTGTTTTTATTACTAAAATACCAGACATGTTCTGATGAAATAACATATGCAAGGGGAGTGCTTTACATCGAAATTGTTTTGTTACTTTTGTTTATTTTGATTATATTCATTTTATTAATGACCAAGAAAAAGTTAAAATTGTAGAAGTTGTTATCTGTAATCTAAAGAAAACAACAACAACAAAAAATATCAATTTGAATTAAAATTGAAAATGTCGTGTTAACTGTAAATGAAATATTGGTCAAAAGTAAAATGATAAAGTTAATTCTGAAACATTATCATTATCATGATATTTATTCTATCAAACGATTTACTCCTTGGAAGATCTTGTATATTTGTATAAATTTTTTTAGATCGGTTTAAATGAACGGTGCAAAAAAAAACATTTATGGAAAAAAGAGCTGATCAGCACGCACGACGTGACTTATATTGCGACTTCTTTTGTCCTTGCTAACAATTCGCTTCCTGCATAAATTGATTTCTTGTAGCTAATACCTAAGAATCATTTGATAGTTAATTACATAATTGCTCTTCACTTTTGTAAAAAGTGCAATTTTAGAATTTAAAACAATATATATTTATTCATAGTAAAACGTATTAATAAAGTTGTGTGCATATAATAAACATAAACTACCAAGTAAGACAGAGAGCAGCACCTTTTGCTTGGATGAAATTCACTCTGTAGCAAAGCAACACATATCTGAGAAATATGTCAACTACATTTTATCGCGATAATTTAAAGTGACATCGGTATAGTGTTAGGTATTCTGAAGTTAATTGACAGGAGGAAAATAATTATATGCACGTATAAAGGTGAGAGAGAATCAACATTACTATAATAACGTCCCGTAAAGCTAGTGATTAATGAATGTGAAAGTTGTTTCCTTATTCTTGCAATGTAATACTACGTCATGTAGTTGTTGATACCGGTGTTGTTTATTTATTGGTAAAAATGATTTTTGATTCAATGCTTAATGTCGTCATAGTTTACTTTTAGTATGATATCGTGGCTTAACTTTAAGTATGATATTAATGCATTTAATTGCTACGTAGTTCACGAATTGTATTAACACCTGTTTCATGACGTTTAACACATGTATAAAGTTGATACATGTATGAGATGAGCATCGGTCCATCAAGATAAACATTATGTACATACCACCAAAAGTGTATTTATTGAATTCCAAGCACTTTTGAATCAATCATTGAGGTCTTACCTATCACCATATTTCGGAAAAAAACATGGAAGTTAACTACTATAAGAATTTAGAAATTTACAATTTTACTTAAACATACAATTACAATTACTGATGCAAGTTTCCTGTCACGCATACACTACCTGATCATTGTATTTGAAATATCATTGTCAGCATCTAATTTACAGGAAATACATATTGTTATTTATTATCAATAAAACATAATTAAGTGAACATTTTCAACTAATTAATATTTAAAAGGTTATCTAATGTGGTTTGTCGTTAATGCATTTACCTTTTATATTAAACATGTCCAGCTTTGTTATTGTAATACATGGTTTAAAGGAGCAAAGGAATACAACATCAATCTGATTTTCTAATTATCTGTGTTGCAAATAAACAAATTATAAACGCCCAGAATTAAAATTGCATAGTTACAAACTACCAAACTGTTTCTGTTAATATAATGCCAATAGATGAGTAGGTGCAGAGAACTTACAGCGTGATAAAATCTGGAATTTTAATAGAAATATAAATGAATGCACGTGTTTTACATGTTTACTGTACACAACATCAGAAATATAAATAGAGCTTGTTTAATTCAAATAAAATTTAAATCAATAAAATTTGAACAGAAAGAAAGAATCGAGTCTAGTGAAGAGTCACTTCATCTGTAATATTAAATGATCGGTATTGAACCATCTAAAAGGAGAATGCTAAATTATGCGTTGCATTAGTAAAACAACTTCACAGCACCACTTGTTAACATCACCAATAAATCAAGTTTCCAATAATTAAACTGTACCTTTTGACTCTCGTGAATGAACGGAATAGAAAACGTTACCCAAGTTAATTTTTTTTTGGTTTTAAAACGTACAATTGGGGAAGGAATTATATCTAAAGCAATGTCAATGCCTTTAAAGAATTTCTAGAAGGGAATATTTAGTGTGATAAGAGCAGAATGCTTAAAATACACACATCTGTTGGAGGTGAATTTCATAACATTTATTGAATTTTGTCAAGAAAACATTAATATCTGCTTACTAGATGTATTCAGAGTTCTGCGCATTAAATGATTTTTGCAGATTCATTAGTATATTTGTAAAATCGCTACATGTTTTATATTGATGTTTTAACTTAAAAACAGCACTGAACAAAACATTAAACGAATAAATAAACGAATAAACACCAATATGTGTTCAGACTAAAGGAACAAACGACCAAGTGAAGCACGAGTAAATGTTCATTTATATGTTCAAAACACTTCGTCACCTCAGTGCAGTAGGGGGTTAAATTCTTTTAAATTTAATAGGAATAAACCCGTTACTGAACTAAGGTGATTACTTTTCTCTTTTCCAAGCTGTAACTGTTTCCGTGTTATGACACTGGACTTGAAACTGAAGACTTAATTATAATAATAGTGCATCTTAAATGTAACTATGTATCACGTGGCTTGACGGGTGTCACTACAACAAGAGTTTACAAAAAAGAAATACATGACATATATGTAAATGTTATGCCGCACCCTAATTTTTGCTCAGCTAAACACGAAGGTAAATAACTGTTTCAAAGTAGATACAAAACGAATACATTTCTGTGTTCACCTGGTACTGTTTAAATTAAAACTTGCAAATCAGCTAGATTGACAAGTTTTTACACAGCACTAGTACAATCCATGTCAAAAACTGATGAATCGAAAGCCTCAAATCAGGATTATTCTAGAGCCTTTTATAAGTTTAAATGGGGTGCCTGCGCACGATGACGTCATTTATCTAAGATTCTTATGATTCCTCAAATATCTAATGTTAGAGAAAACAGGGATGAAAATTCAAAACTCCCCTCATTAGTTTTTGTGAGATGATATATTTAGCAAAATGTATGTTGAAAACATAACAAAAACGGAGGGTATCGGTAGAAAATTAATATCGCCTTTAGTTATTTATTTTAGCGGAGGTGGAAACATTAAAAACTTGATCCTGAATCATTAATTATGTTTGAACAGGATTTGATGTATTATGTACGTTGGTTTCCTTTTCATTTTACACTAAAATTGATAGACATAAATCTGTTAAAGGGTAGTTTTATTTTCAACATAAAAAACAGACATGTTTCTCAAAGTTAAATGTGCAGCATGATTGTCAAGATGCCATAATGTATTGTATTAACATAAAGTAAATAAAAAAATAAACATAAAATTATGTGAAGTTCCACAAAGAGATCTCTCTATTTATTTATTCATGCATAAATAGTTTGTAGTAGATGGTACATGGGTTCAATCGCCAAAATCAAAGTTAAACTTGAAGTGCATCGTTTAGAAAGGAATTTGAATTGTATGGTTGATTTAGGAGAACAAGTGTCTGGCTCCATGTTAACTGCTTCATATGAACATTCGTGTACAGGTGGATTTCAATAACACAAACTGTACATTTATCCTTGTCATTATAAGAATAAGACGTAACGGATAACAATATAATATCATTTTTGAACGTTGTACGATCGTAATTTGATAGTTAGATGTTTAGTGTTTTAATTGTTAATCTTTATTACACGGACTTATTCTTCGTTTTTTTGGAATAGGAAATGAATGTTTGTGACATGTCATAACATGGTACTTTTTACACTGATTCAGTAATTTTGTACTATTAGACAGACCCGCTAACATTGAGTTGAGTAACCAGCGGTAAGTGGCTTCTTAGACATTGCCAAATAAATGACATTGAACAATAATAAAAACAACAGTTAAAGTACATGTGCTGTCAAGGTAGAGTACGTTAAAATGCTTATGTTCACATTAATAACTATCTTACTTAATTGTCATTGATAACAGTTATGATGACTATCTTGACGGTTTTTTTTTCATTGGCAAATATTGTAGCCAATTCAATGTTTGTTACATGCATCTTTATTCGTGCATGTTTCTGTACTTTGTTTCATTTGAGCTGCATTTATCAAATATATTAAACCCCAAGTACGTTAACTAATGTCAAAAAATTATGTACTAGCTACAAAACAAAATAAAATAAAAGAATTATTATATCTTAAAGTTTCAAAACATTCAAAATTGGGGGATGTTTTGTACTTAATGACACCAAAACAGTGTCAATATAAATCACTAGATTATATTTTAGATGGTTAAAAAAACATGCATCAATTAAATCAAACTAATCGAATTTTCTATGAACCAAGCACGGCCAGCGGGAAACATTTTCGAATTTTCGATTACGCTTTGCAATGTTTCTTGATGACAGTTGCATCAATAAATAATCAATGTCTCAACAAATTTCAACATTTGAACAAATTATAATGGAACTATAGATTGTTATATAAGTATTAATCATGCACGATATATCATTTCAATTTTTGTTATATAAAGTGTAATTTGTTGAAGCATCATACTTATTTCATTCAAATGAATGCAAACGGTAGCAATAATAAATTTATATTCATATCATCAATTATGTCATCAATAATATATTGCACTCAATGTTATAATATTATAATGACACATTATTTTAATTGTTGATGCTATGACAATCACTTCATTTAAGTGTACTCTTATGTTCCACTTCAGTCTATGTTTGATTGATAGAAATACAGCCTGTAGAATCACTCATACATAGAGAAACATCTATGCTAGATTTATCCTCTGATTAAAGCATTTAGTATGCTATTGTTATCCGGAAATAAAGCTGTATTCCACATAAAACAGAAGTATATAGGATACCGGTATTGCTTTCTAATTACCAAAACATCAGACATTTTCTAATGGATTTATGTGAAACAAACATATACAAGGGGATTGCTTAGCATATAAATTGGTTAGTAGCTTTTGTATATTAGAAATTGTATGGTGTCATCAAGACTTTGAGCTATTATTTTTTTGTTGTATTTCGAACTTTTTGAACATTTTATTGTAGTTAAGGGTATTAACAATTAGTATCTATGTTTATTAAGCAAGAGTAAGTGAATTTTTGTTGAAGTAACTACAAGAATTGTGGCCACAGGGTTATGAATATTGAAATAGGTTTCGCGCATATTTGTGTTGTTTCCTACGAAATACGAGTTAAATTAAATCAGCTTCTATTCTTTACAAATGAGCCGCGTCACAACAAAACCAACATAATGGGTTTGCGACCAGCATGGATTCAGACCAGCCTGCGCAGGCTGGTCTGGATCCATGCTGATCGCAAACCCAATATGTTGGTTTTGCCATGAAGGGGGCTCAAATAATGAATTGTGGTATAGTATCAATTCAAGTCTTTAAACCTGAATCTAAATCGATTAAATAGCTTATGAATTCTGGTTTAAAATATCGTTTGCCATTTAGAAATGTTGCTGAAAAGAAAATGACTGAGCTCATAATTAAAATAATAGGTGTTTAAGATAACTATGATACCATTAAGCATTGATTTCATTAAAAAGTTCCTTTTTGGGAGTTAAACAATAATCATTAGGTCTGGATTTTTATCAATTTAAATAAAGTGTTTCTGTTTACACTGATAAGTTAAAGATCTTAGAAAAAAGGATGATCAGCAAAAAGGATAATCAGCATTTATGTGTCGATTCTAATTAATATTGTCATGGACACCGAATGCTTACAAAAAGTATGTATCCTGTACAAAATGAGTTTTTGACAACATATACTTTAAAATAGTTTAATATCCTAATACTTTGCGTTACATTTTGCAAAGAGTGAAACATTAAGAAAGTAAAACAAATTAATTCATATCAAAATGTTTTCAACTAGTACTAGAAAAACGTAACTATTAATAAATCATTGTGAAATGTTCAAAGCAAAAAGGTAGCACATTCACATTTTTCGTAAGTACCACGCTAATTGCAAAGTTCACTCTGCAGCAAAGCAAAGGAAATACCCAGGAATATGACGACTTGTTCCTATCCCGCTAATCTAATGTGACACAGGAAAAGTGTTAGATATGCTAAAGTTAATTGAGAGGAGGAAGAAGTTATGTACAGGGTGAGAGAGAGAACAACATCACTATACAGCCCTATATAACACTATGTCTGCAAACGATTCTGCTCAACGAATAAGAAAGCTAATTACTTATTATTATAAAGTAATTCCACTTTACATCGTTGTTCATTTTTTCAATAGTTTCAATTGTTTCAATTTTTTAGGAGAACTATGAAAATATTAAAGTACCTGTCAAATGAATTACTTAGACTTTTTTTAATTTAACAATATCCACAAACTCTGTTATTGTAATTTTCAGAGTTTTTTCTAGTTACATGACTTGTTTTAAAACTACTCGGTGTCTCTGTCGGCGTCTTAATTTCGTTTATCATATGAAGAAATAATTACGTTTGAAGCCCAAAATGTATTATATTTATACAGAAATTCATGCTAGAACTATTAAAAAATGTCATTAAAGCACGATTTAAATAAATAAGATGAATTGAATATCTTTGTCATTTATCCTTTCAAGTATCCCATTAAACCTTAAATAGTGTAATAAAAGTCTAAAGTAAGAAATATTTTAGGCCCCTTATTAAATCTGTACTTTTATAATCATTTAATGGATTACAGCATTTCGTATCTGTCAAGGGATTGTCCATATTTATTATTTGATATCGGCATAAAATGCAGATTATCGACCGAAACACGATCGGAAGGTTTTTGTTAATATTTTACTCTTTCCTTGGCTTGTAACTGTTTTCCATGATATAAACATGACATACTATGTAGTACCTTTGTATCATATATTTTCAAAAGATTTTGGCGCCATTACGACAAACATGTGTATGCAAGTGCTACATGACTTATATGATTGTCTTAAAAGCTTTCATAATGCTTGGTGCATAAATCATAGAATAGCTTCTATCAGAGCGAAGAAATATGTATACTGTTCTAATAGATCTTGAGTGTTTTGTTTGAAACTTAATTAAGCGATCCTATACATCAAGACTTGGAACATTATGCCAGTGGTTGAACGTCTTGACTTTTAGGTGGTTTAGTGCAGGAAACATACTTGTCTGATGAGTATCCACAAAGTTATTCTATAAAAATGAATTTTTCTTTGCTATGTTGCATTCGGACACTGAAAGTTGTATCACTCGGGAGAAAACAGTAGATTCTTTTTCATCTTATATTTTTATGCCTACATTTTTGTATCTCGATTACTATGTGTTGTTTGTTTTAAGTTTATTATGGACTAGTAAATTTTGTTATAAAATTATCTTTGATTAAGTTGTAAATTTTTTCGCGGTGTGGGGAAGATTTGATTGCTAAGTGATAATAATATATTGTATCAATGTATATGGGTTTTGAAAGCTTTTGACAAGCTATTTCGCTAATATTTCTATTGAATTTCAAAAATCTGTATCAAAATTTTATTATTTAGAAATTTATTTGACAATTTTACATTTTATGTTATATACTACACAATGTTTGAATTACACAAACATTAAATAAGCAATTTATTATCTGAGTTAGATTTCTATGCCACTTATCACATGGTCAACAAAATTACAATATTTACTTCACAGCGCAACAGTTGTCAAAACTCACATGTGAACAACATAATGTGGTAGTGCGAATTATCGGAAGTGAAAATGCATAAACAGGAAAACATGCTTGACAGTCCTGGATCAAGGTCTCCAAGAACGCCGCACAGATCACCTAGGCAACATCGAAAGCTAACTCTTCCAACTGAGTTTCAAGACGATTTAGGTAAGTGAACATTCACTAAACAATTCATTGGAAGTGGACAATGATTCATATAATCATAAGTTTCATATTCAATTTATTGGTTGGATATGGTAGATAAATCGGTAAAACATTGTTCACAAAGACTCTAGAAACAAAGTGATCCCTCGGAAGCATTAATCACAACAAAATAACATGAATATTGCAGACGCGGTTTGATTGAGTCTGTATATGAGGGATAATGAATAAATGCAACAGCCCTCAGTCCCTAGCATCAAGCACAAAGTCAACAGTCAAATGATAAAAGAGCAACTCTCTCTGCATCGGTCATAAAACCGTTCACTACAAAAGTTAAGGTATTACAAATATGTGTAAGTAACAATAATTAGAAAAGGTGTAAAAGTGTTCAGTATATCTGTCTAAGTAAAACTTGTTTATTAATAGATAGTTTAGAAAAATGGTTTAAAAACCCAAACTGTCTATATTCATTTTTCGTTATACACAATGAGCATTTATTTATAAGTGTTTTGCACATTCCAAAGTATATCGGATAGTTTCAAGGGAAACAACCTAATATAAAACACGAGAATTGTTTTGCATATTAAGTATTTTTAGTACTGTCCCTTTGCTAGTTCATTTATATGTTTAATATTCAAATCATGAAACTTATTTAAACAAAATGACTGTGTGTGTCACTACAATATTTAATCATTTTTTTTAAATTCAGGTTCTATTTAACCAATCCCTTTTTTTTTAATTCAGTTTCTATTTAACCAATCCTTTGTATTTTTTTAGAATTCAGTTTCTATTTAACCCACCCTTTACAGGTACAAAACACACGCAATAATTTAATCAGATAGTGTTACAATCTTTCTTAGTTGACATGAGAGAAATTATTGAATGACATGATGACACTTTTCACAACATGTCTCATGCTACATACGTACATAAGTTCCAATTTCAAATAAGTTATTTTCAATGCGTAGAGAACTTCAGTACTTATTATAAATAAACGCAAATCAAACATTGATTAATTTAATCTCAGCGTTTAACAACATAAAAACTTTATTAGGTCTTAATCAAACCTGACGTTAATCATAAATTTGATTCTCACTTGGCAAAAATAAATAAATATATAAATCGAAATATACTACTACATTTTTCTGTGAAGTGTTCCGGTATATCCAATGATTATAACTAAAGCCAAGCCAAGTCAAATATATACTGTTAAATGTCATATAAGTTTAATATATTGTCTTAATTGAAAACAAAATATAAAGCAAGAAATGAAAAGAAACTTCAAAACACGTATAACACGTATTTATAAGAAAATGAGACGTATTAACAACTAAAAGTGAATTGTTAATTTAGGATATATATTGTGCTGATATATAGACTAAGTGTTTTTTTTTTCATTGTAAAATATTAGTTCATCCTATATTCCTATTTATTGAAAATAAAAATTGAAATTATGAAAGCAGACGTCTGATTGGTTATCAATTTGCCCATCCCTTTGATATAAATTGCTGTAACATTTGATAATGTAATATAAATAGTTTCATTCTTTAATACAGGATGGAAAATATATCAAGATGTGTATTCAATCCTTTGAAGCAACAAAAATCTGGAAATGTATTTTTGTTAATTATATGAACAATACTCTTAAATTGCGCAATACAAAAATATTACTAACTTAAAAGTCTTGTTGTTTTTGCAGCTAATGAAATTTTGTATGTTTTGTATTATATCTTTAAAAAGAGTTGCGTTGGCATCTTTCCCAAAGGTATAGGCCAACCTACTCGAAAACAACTCTCCATGTCGAGATAATGATATCATTTAAAATAATAATTTCACTTCGTTTGAAATAATGATGTTTCGAAACCAATAGCACTGCCGCACATTAATGAAATCTTAGAGTTTATGTCAAATCTACGTGTCTTGTATGCCAATATTTAACATGTAAATATGTGTGCATTTATCTACTAACTTTGTTGTTAAACATACAAAAATGTTATTTATTATCAGTTTGATAAATTTCGATAATCGACTGCAGATTCATTGGGCTGTATGAACAATAGCTGTTACAAAAATAAATACTGTAAGCGGATACATGCTTATTCAATGATGATTTGTTCATGTATTTTTATCAAGCCTTTCCACACTTAACACTTTAAACTCGACTCGACCATCTTTCAATGTAGACAAGGCAATTCATCATTTTGGGAGATTGTTTACATTATTAATGACAGATGTGGCGGCTGTTCAAGGTCTGTTCTGGTCACTTGAGTGGAAGCAGTTGCAACCAGCAGGTTTAAGGTGCACTTTTGATTTGATCTTTGATTTATTATAGTTACTGTTAATGATTAATAACACACGCTTAAAGGATTGTAAATACTGAAATAAGTTTAGGCTTAATTATTTTCATATTTTTGTACAAACAGATATATTTAACTACAAAAATATACTTTTTTGTAAATGTTTGCGAAATTTTATGACCGGAGTATTAAGTTCGAGTAAGTGTATATGCCAACCAAAAAGCAGAACATATATTAAATACATTCTTGATATGCATGTTTTGTTATGTAAACAAATTACTTTTTTGTTTCAAATTGCAAGAAAATATGACCTATTGATTTCAATAATTTTTGTGAGTTGCCATATTTCTCTAAATTACTAGTATAAGAACATTTCTGTAAATTACTTCATTGAGATTAAGACAGTAAACAATCTTCTAAAAGTGCAACCTGTTGTATATCTTATTTAAAAGAACATGTAGGAGGAAAACAGATGTGTAATGTTTACAACATATGTGCTTATCCGTGCAGCAAATTGCTCATAGAAACGGTTATCAAATGCAAGGAGAATTATTTTCTCTTTTATTTCAAATGCATCAATAAAATAATGGTCCATGATCATATGAAATGAAGATGAAATCATTTTAATATTATAGAAAATATCACCGCTTGTGACTATTTGATTATTTAATGTCTTGAAATTATTTTAATATCGACGTTAAATTTGCATATTTTTATCATATAATATCACTAATATACGTTCCGATTTAATATTGTAATCGATATTTATGATTATAATCGTATTAACTGCTATCTATATTTAAAATGATCAAAGTACATTCCTCTTTAATTATATATCAATTGTAATCTGTAGATGAAACGACACACAGTATTACAAAAATTCACGCATTACGTTATATACTTCTTTAAATTACGTTACACTTATGCAGCTCATTTTTTGTTATACAGACTAGCTAATGTACATTAGGTTTAGTATAAAACAAGTGTTCGACACGGTTTTCGTTATTATAATATTTATACGTTTTACTCTTCATGATAACATATTTACATTGAAATCAATTTCGAAAGTCATAATATTTAGTCAATTTGATAAACATATTGAAATTGATTTTTTACGTAACACTATTTTCATTCCATTTAGTTCTTAGAACCGTTAATCGATATACTATGAATTTATGTCGAAAAGAAGACAAAAACGATAAAATTGTATTTTTTATATATCATTGAAACGTGATGAATATATATGTCAGTTATCTGAACAATTATCTATGTAAAAAGTACGTTGAATAGTTAAAATGTCTAAACTTATCCTTGCACTATATATAATTCGGTTGTTAAAATTTACAGAAGTTTTGTGGTGTAAGTAAATAATTTTTATTACCTTTCGAAATGATGCATAACTGCTGATGTTGGAACTAAATATAAAACCTAATTTTAACATATGCTTGTAATTTAATTTGTTTGTGTTTGAAACAAAGTAGTTATGAAATTAAAAATGTTTAACTTTAAAGCAGATTTAATATGTGATATTCTTTAAAGTGTTTGTATAAAGAAATTGCCATGGTGCTTTTGGCTGCAATAAATAACTCGTGTACCGGTTAGTATAAAAAAGCATAAGTTTTATACAAAAATAAATAACACTTCTCAGTAATTTCGTTTGAGTTCAGAACGAAAAATAGTGCATATTAATACTGATTTTATCGATCCATTTTTGGATCATGTGAAATCAGTATTTATTTGCATATAACTTGTAAATGTATTGTTATCAATTTACATGACCGTATATATAATAACAGGACTTACAAAGCTGATATGCAATTGATAAAAATGTAATCTTTGGATAACAAAGTCCCGCAAGGACAGGGGGGAATCTTTCATTTATATAAATGATCAGGATTTGTCTAACATTTTTAATGTTTCCAAACACTTGTAAACAAGTATTTTCTGTTCATTATCTGTGTTTTCGTACTTTGAAATTTAGTAAGCAGTATCTGGTGAGCATGTAAATGTAAAATAAATCAGAGATAATATTCCGATCGTATAATTTATTTAAAGAAACATAAATCGAACAAATACAACATTTACTATCACGATTTCAATGAGGGTGCTCATATTCGACTGATTTCAAAATATCTTTTTTTTTTCAAAGGAAGCAATATGATTATATCTTAATGATATATTTATCTCTTTGGGCGAAGCTTTATCTAACGCCAGTTTCATTTTTTTTTGGTAATATACAAAAACATACAGAATTTCACAAGCTGCAAAAAACAACAAAAAAGTGAGTGATATATTGGTATTGCATCATTTAAAAGTATTATAAGTTCAGGTAATTAACAAAAACACATACTTTTTTCGTTTCTTTTGACATCCTGTTTTCAATGAATAAAACTTTTATTACGTAACCTGATGTAAAATCATTTTATATCCAAGGGAGGGGCAGATTGTGAACATATTGTGATTTTGCTATGAAATTCATTATCAGATTAAATGTCTTTTTATAATAATTATTCTAAAATACATACAATGCATTAACATTTTGTTGTAAAGACTGTACTATGATTTAAGAGAATATATTCGAGCAAATAAAACTTTTTATTGGCACACTGTTTATCTTTTGTGTTGATAACATCATTGATCACAACACTAAGGTAACTTTAGTGAATGATTCCTAGTTTCTTGAAATTATTTCATTAAATAATTAATATG